TTTTCCCATCGGAAACCTTCTGTTTCCCTTTATTAGCTGGAGCATCATAAGGCTTCCTACGGTCTTGATGTTGTTTTCCTCTCTTCTCGTTCAGACTCTTGTAGTGAGCCGAATGAGCTTTTGCTGCCTTCCTCATAGATCCTACATTTGTTCACCAACTCTAGAAACCTACAGATATGCTGATATCCAATTGCCCGCTTGATTTCTGGATGTAAATCATTCTCAAACTTGATACACTTCAATAATTCAGCAGTCGCTTCACTGTAATATGGAAAATACTTTGTCAGTTCCACGATTCTTGAAGCATACTCAACCACAATCAGATTTCCTTATTTCAATTCTAGGAACTCAATCTCTTTCTTCCTGCACACATCTTCAGGAAATACTTCCTCGGAAATTCTGGGTTGAATACAACCCAAGTGATGACTTCACCCACCGTTGCCGGTCTTTGACAGGTGACGACCCACCAGTCATCAACTTCCTCTGCCAGCATATGCATACCAAATCGCACCTTCTGTGCCTCTAAACAATCCATGACCCGAAAGATCAGTTCAATCTCTTTGAGCCAAGTCTATGCTCCATCAGGGTCGTACCTACCTTTGAAAATAGGCGTATGGTTCCTCTAAAACGTCTCTAATACACGGGATCCATCATCCTCGCCAGTATTAGGCTGATGTTACACAACCTGAGCAATAACCTGCAAAGCAGCAACAATCGCATCACCGTTTCTTTCAGCCATTCTACACATAGGAAATTAACGTCAAAAAATAACGTATCAATAGTGCACTCAAACTAATCAACCGATAGGACATAGACATCATAAGAAAACCTAGTCGGACAGACAGACCTGCTATGATACCACTAATATAACACCCTTCTAAAATCCCACGAATATTATAATTAATAAATCAGATTAATGCACCAAAAGGGTGTCACATACTTCATAAAAACATCATACATACATATCTTGCTCCGGAAAATGGGCTCTCAACGATTATAATCATTTTCTTTTGGAGTATCAACATATAACTCAGTTGTTAAACAAACGGAATTCATAGTCTCAAACAACTTTATGAAATAATATCCTTCAAAACATCATTAAATCTCATCTTTCATGAGTTATGATTTTAAAACACCCCAAACAACATAAACAACTTATAAATCATTCAATTAAAGAAATAAAGTTTCACTTCAAACGTTCCCAACTCCCGATTTTACATATCAGAGAAAGACCTTCTAAATCAACAAAAATAAACAACACCCTCTGAAGCTATTCTTTAAGCTTCTACAAACTACTCCTGATCACCTGGGCGTTACCCATGTAGAGGTAATATTCAAATAGAAAGGGTGAGTAATTACATTCATTACAAAAGATATACGGAATAAATATAGTAGTTCGACAACATTATCATATAATCTATATACTACATATCATCATGTTTCACTTATTATACTCATGCTTTCATATCATCATAACACATCATCATCATGTCATCAAATCAACAATCATCACCGAGACATCATTAGGTCACACATCATCAAAACATAACTTAATCATTCATCATGCAATATTACAAAGAATGTAATGCACATTATTGACTGATGCATGTGGAACCAAAACTTCACTGATGACCAAGTCATCTTCCTCCAAAGATACCAACCATAGGATCGATTCCCGCTTGGAATCGGAGAACTTCACAATATTGCACTCAATGTACACTATGGGATTGAAGTCATCACTGGACCAACGTCTTATCAACATCACTAGACCAATGTCCTAACATATGCCATAAATGCATGATGTGAAACAATATAATACACACTATTACTTCTAGTCAAAACACATCATCATCCATGAATTCATCATAATATCATCACTTACATCGTAATACACATGACATCATCACAACAATATCAATTCATCATACAAACATACACCATGTTATATCAATCACATAATCACATTGATTCATCATAGTATCATCACAGTTCATCATTCAAAGGTCTAGTTTAATCATAGCAAGGTACTAGAATAATACATCCTTTTACTCATTTTATTTCGCCTAGTTATGATTCATCGCGTTAGCTATCCAACTCTTCAAACGACGCGTCAAACAAAGTCTAAAAACTCAAGTTCTGACATTTATAAAATTTTCGCAAGCAGACCTGCTCACTATTACTTCGCCCGACAAATGGGTTTGTTTGCCTGATGCTCGCCTGACGATGCAGAGGCGACGAGCTCTCGCCTCTTGCTTGGCCCGCGAGGTTGGAGAGAATCTCTTCCTCCCATACATTTTCTAGGAGCACCCATTTTCCACTCATCCTTTTGCTTCTTGTCTCGCTCGACGAAGACCAGGCAAAATTGCTTCGCTCGACGATGCTTGCCTCGTCCGACGATGCGTACCAGACAACAACTCTCTATTGCGATTCTGTACATGTTCAGTCCCAAATTCTCTTGCGATTTCATACCAATGACAATCCAAATTCATCCCAATTCACATGTTTTCATACACAACAACAATACAACCTTATAAGCATCATGCGCATCAAATTATGGCAAAACAACATGGTATTTTCATCATAACACTCATCACATTCAACATATCATCAAATTCATCATAAGCTCAAACAAATCCCTACATATATCTAAACCACATATCAATTCTAATGACAGATCACTCCATTACCTTAGATTCCTAGCAATTGGCCTTTTTCTTTACATTCTACAGTGATCTCCTTTGTTTCCCGTGCCCTAGTTTTCTTCACAACATTCTTCTCTTTTTCACAATTGCACTGAATGAACACTGACACTCACTTTTCCTTGTTTAACCCTTGGACCCTTTCTATGATCTTCTCATCTTACCCTCACTAATCCTCATAACATTACCACCTTACTCTTAACACTTCTACACCATTTATTATATTTATTTTATTAATAATAATTCTAAATAATTAAAACTAATTATCTAAATTATTAAAACATCCAACATCACTTAATTTCCATTATACGACACATAACATCACATCACACATCATATTCACCAAAAGATCACATATAATCATCATAGATCAATTAAATAATTAAATAAATAATCTAATTATTTTTGAGGTGTTATAAGGTCTGCTGCAAAACATGGACAAGAAGAATATGAAAACGGTACGATGAACGTTGCACAAAATAAATTCCAAAGTGTGTTTACACTATTTGAGTTCGATTCGCCCCACCAATTTAAGAAAATTGGATGCAAATAGATAATCCAGCGAATCCCTTTCAGAATATTTTGAAAACTTTAACTTGAATTGCACATTCACATTAAATATATCGATAAACAATATTTTATAGAATAAAGTTGTCTAATATATTCGTGTGCACTATAAAAATAAAAGAAGACTTAGTTATAATTTTTAACACTTGAAACATGTTATTTTCATGTCTCTTTTATACCCAACAAATATCTCTATTTATATAAAAATTTGTACCAACTAATAAGAAACAATGTTTCAATTGTTTTAACATAGTCATTTCGGAACAATTATATTATAATGTTCAAAAGTTTCATCAAACATTGTGTTGGTCTAATTATAAGTTTGTTTTACTCGTACACATGATGACCAGGAGATTCGAGGTTCAATTCCATTTGAATGCAATTTTTGACCATTTATTTTATTATTTTAATAAATAAATCTAAAAAATTATTCAAATAAAAAATTTAAACTTATGACTTTTCACTTTCATTCTATGACAATAGTTTCGACCACTATGCCACATAGCTAATTATAATTTAAAAAATTTATAAAATCAATTTAATCATATTATTATTTATCACCTAAATACTTTAAAAATTTCTCCAACAATTTATTTGATGTCTTTAAAGGTTTTTTTTTTTTGTAGTTATACATTAGTTTTCAACACTGTTAGCTTGATACATCTTCTGTTAGACGACTATATAGTCACTTTTAACTTAGTTGAATTTCTTTCTTAATTATTATATTTGTCATATTATAAATATATATTAATATAAAAAATACAATATAATTTTAAAAGTTACATTCAATATTTTAAAAATAGATGTAAATAAGAAATACGCTAGAAATTTTATAATAAAATGTATTTTAAGTATTAACACATTCAATTTTTTATGATAATTATAAATTAAAAATATTATTATAATCAGATCTTAATTATTTCTGTTAAATTAAAAACGGGTGTAAATTTAAATATATTAAAAAAATTATTTAATTTTATAATTCAAAATATTAATTTAAATATATTTAAAAACCACATTAACAATGACACATGGCATTAGATTAAAAATTAAAAAAGAAAAGCAAATATAGGAAGAGAAAGAAGAGTTTGCTGTCACGCTGGAAAAAAAAGAAGAAGGGAAAAGTGCTTATTTCGGACACACTTTTTTCTTCTAAAGCGGAACAACCGTAAAAAATGGAAACAGGAACAGAATTGAAATAGTGAAACACAACAGGTTCACAAGTGGAAAAGAGCTTATCGTGAAAAGAAGAAACACGCCAAAACGTGTTTTCATGGTGTTTTCATGGTTCAGGTTTGGTTTGACTATGAAATTGGATTAGAGCTTGGTTCTGCTCCTTTTCGGAATGGTTTCGATCACGTTTGCTTTTTACGGCAAGCTTCGACACAATTTCGAGTTATTCTAATAATTGGTTCTGAGCTGTTTTGGTACGAATTTTTTTCAACTTAAATACACAACAATATAATAATATATTGGATGAGAACTTACCAATGGAATTGAAGAAAAAGTGGGAATTTGATATTGCTTGCAAGGCGTTCGATAGAATGCCTCAGCATGTTTTTTTGCTATTTTTTTTTGTTGCTTTGCTTATGCTTCTTGCTTCTTCTTCTTGTTTGTTGTTGTTTCACTTGTTGACTTATTGAACTTCCATGATTGTTGATGCTTGAATTCTTGTAGGTGATGATGGTAATGAATTCTTGAAGATAGTGAATTATTGATGATGCTTGAAGTTTGATGGAGGTGAAGATTATGGATGAAATGGTGATGTAAGTGATGAAGATGGAAGTTAGAATTGGTTTATGATGGAGATGAATGTGAAGGAATGATTATGGAAAATATTTGATATAAGATTGTTCCATTCAGCCAACATTGTTTCAAGGTGAGTCATTGCAGAAATAAGACATGAGGATATATTCCATTCAGCCAACATTGTTTCAAGGTCAGTTATTTTATGAAATTGTCCTTGGAAATTTTAATGTTTGTCTATTTTATAGGAAATAGCATGAAACGTGAGAAGAAAATAAACCAAAGTTGTACATCCAGACTTCCTTATTTATCACCCAACCGAGGAGAGAAATTGGTAGAGACTTATGTTTAGGGACAGAAAAATGTACATAACTACACGTATAGCCAGTGCATTGGCCTGATTTTCATTCTCACCAAAGGTTTGGGACAAATCAAAGTCATCTATATTTTTAATTTGATGCAGTTATCCACGTTGTTTGTTATATATGTATGCTGTGTTTGGTAAAGCAGTGAATGATCACTACTGCACGTTTGCAAGCTCCCCACCGTGATTTTCCAAAGCTACTATTGGTAGCTTCTCCCAAACGTGCGGTATTGCTTTTAAAAATTTCCAAACACAAGCGTAGTGTCATATGAGTATGAGGACTAGACAGTAGGTAGAAGGACAATGAAACATCCCATATTGTTTATTTTAGTAAAACACCAATATTCCTTGATTAGATCAATAATTGGCATCCTTATCACTATATTATAGCATGCAATTTTAGCTTCTAGTTTATATTTTGGCACTGTAAAACCAAATATGATGGCTTTGGCCGCACAGATCCACAACCGATGCATTTAAACTTCTCCTGTTCGGTAGTAACTAAATAAAATATAAATTTAGCTACATAATATGATAGGGGTTTAAAACAATTTACTATATGCCACTACCTTCAAATACATATATCCACTGAGGATTGAAATATACTTTAAATGTCTTTGTTAATTGTCTAACTGCAATGAACTTGAATTATCATGTTTATTGTAGAAATAATTGCTATTATTCGGAACAGTTAAAAAACATTTACATGGTGTGTTCTGGGATAAGTTACTTGTTTTTTCCTCAGGCTTAAAAACACAAATTACATGGCATATCAGGAAATCAACATTTTGATACTAAAAGTTGGAAAAGTTTTATAAGTTATTAGTCCAAAAAGGATTCACCCCAAAAAGAATTGACAATAACTAGCACCATGATTTTTAAGAGAATTTACATGAAGAGTATTTGACTTGAAGTGTGAGAAACAGTGATTAGAAAATAGAAGCACTAGTGCTATTATTATAGTTTGATCACTGTATTTGACACTCAAGGAAAATGGAAAAAAAATCATGTTCTAATCATATGGTTATATGTAAGAAAAGTAGAATATTTATTATATCCTAAAATAGTGTCATTCTATGAACCATTGCTAGAACATGCTTGATTATATGCCACTGATGGAACGTGTCCTAGTTGATATGCCACTTTTGAAAAACATTTGGTTCTATCTATGTACCTACACGCCTTCGATTCTTTTATCGGTCACACAATAATAGTAAAGTAACTATGTTTAGTTTTAAAATTATGAGACTTATATATTGATCTGAAAATACACTTATGTGGAAAACCAAATTTATTATGCAGATGTTATGTTTTGGTTCTATATACTAGTGGAAAACAAAATTTACTATGGACATGTTATGTTTTGGTTATAAGTACTACTTCTTGTAAGTACGATGTATCACGCTTATTTAACATATTCATGGTTAATTTCTTGCATGAAGGGAGGAGTTTGTGATAGGACCTTCATTACTTGATCCAAAAGAGCATAGCAGCTAAGTTGGCAAAGACCTCAGAATTCCAAGGAATAAAATATGTTACGTAAGTGCATCAGAGTTGGAAGTTTATATAGATTAGTTTGGAAAATATCCCTCCACTTAATTCTATTATAGTAGTATACTTTTTTTGACTCTGCATCTCTCTGATTCATCTATTTAAAGACAGAAATTGTGATGACCTGAGAAGCTGCTCAGAAAAAGTGATTAACTAATGAAAAACCAGAGTCAAAGTATGACTTCGACTTTGACAAAAAAGTTCTTTGTAACCATTTCTTCATTTCTATTCATGATTGTTTCTTACTATTTCTTTTTAATTAATTTTATGTTAAACCTCTTTGTTTAAATCTCTAAATTTGATTAACTATGATGATGATTGATCGTAACATATATTGAGCAAATTTTGTCTGAAGCGCAATATAGATGGTTGCGTTTAGCTTTCCATTCACAAGCTCGCGTTAGAAGGGAATTGGCAAGCAGCCAAGGGCATGATAGACAAAGAAAACAAGTTGATAAATGCTTCCATAACAACTTTTGGGTTTACACTACTGCACATTGCAGCAGGTGCAAATCAAATTGAATTTGTGAAGCTGCAGATATTATGGTGGATGATCAAGGGCTTCATTTCAGCCCCTGCAAGGTCACTGTTTCAACCAGTGGGCTTGTTCCGCAGCTCAGACGTTTCCTTCACGAATCCAACTGCACTTGCTTCTTGAGACGCTTCGGGAGGAGCTTTGCCTCAAACACAAATATAAGGTTCTACTTGAGTATGTGATAAAAAAGGGGTAACCCAGTGCACGAGGCTCCCATTTTATGGGCTCTGGGGTGGTCGAATGTACGCAGCCTTACCCCTGTTTTTATAACAGAGGTTAGGAAAACTTCTTTCACTTTATTGATTGTGTTTAATAAATAATTTTACAGTTTTTTAGGCTTTAATTTTTATAATGCAGCAATGAAGATGCAAAGAGGCTTATCGAGCTGGTAAAGGGCATCCCTTGCAAGATCAATCTCATCTCATTCAATCTGCATAGTGGATCCTTCTTCAGACCAACTAAAGATGAAAGAATGATTGATTTCAGAAATATGCTAGCTGAGGCAGGATGCGTAGTCCTTTTTCAAGACCCAGTAGAGGCAATGATCAGATGGCTGCGTGTGGTCGGCTAGGCAATCCAGGCACCATTCAAGCTCCGATGCTCCGTGTACCTAAGCAATTCCAAATGGCAGTTGGAAGGTCAACGCGATTCTTTATATCGTTTCCCAGATAGTGACTGCCGTAAAGTACTTTGCAAGTCGATTTCCAAGGCTCTTGCTAGACATCCAGCTAAATACCGAATTTTGGTTGGCATGGTAGATGTGATATTTTCTGATGTTGCTCAGCCTGATCAGATGTGGATTAAGTTTTAAACTTTTTTATGTTCAAAGTTGTATCTATTCCTGGTTGAACTCATGAATGGTATATGTCACCTTTGTCTTGAAATAAGTTTAAGGCACTGGATGGAATGCATGACCCAAAAGCTTGGGCTTCTCGAAGATATCTTATGTTATATTGTTGATATGATTGGACCGGAGGTCTCTCCTTTATTCATATTCTTGCATATTTGGTTGTTTAATCCTTTATTGCTCTATAGTATAGCATGTGGTAACCATCCTAATTTTTGCAAAATGAAGGATATATCACATTACGAGATGTGGAAAGCAGCAAACTTTCTGGAAATGTTTTCAACATTCTTTTCAATCTCAACAAGTTCATCGCGTTTGAATCTCGTGATCCGTATCTTATATGTCAGGTAAAACCAAGTTTTAGATCCTATTTCAATATCAGTGAAGTCTTTTAGACAAATTTTCTTGGCGAATTCTAATGATCAGGAGGGCACTTTTTTGTCCAGTAAGGCGAGGACCAAATATGACAGAGTGGGACCGTTTTGCACACAGGGAGTATCTTAGGCTTTCTAATGGAAGAAAATGGTGAAGACATGTCAAATGCCAGTGGAGATGTCTGGGAAGAATCACTTGAGGCTCCTTTCTAAAATTTAGTTAGGTAGGTGGAGTAGTACAAGTGCATGCCATAATAATACATATATTGTATTTCTTGCACGACCTAAATGGATATCGTATCATAACTGTAGGTGAATGAATCAATGGTTAAGTCGTACTTGTAAGAATCTTCACACTCCACAAATGGAACATGATGCATTTGGATGTGATGTCTAATATTGTTCTGGAGAGGTTCTCCTGAAATTTGCTTAGAAAGAAAATGAGAATAGCTACAAGGTAAGAGCTGGTGCAGATTTATTGTTCTTGCTCATATACTAGTACTTATTTTTTAGACTAATCTATATGAATTTAATTTCTGTAAAAAGAAGCCATAGGGTTTTTGGTTATCCCTTTTGAATTTTGGTTGTTTGAAGGTTTTGTTTTTTTTACAAAATTTATCACAATTAATTGTACTTAACTTTCAACTTGTTTCTTTCAACTTGCAGTGTATCACAGTATCATCTACATACACAAGTTTAAAACTCATAATCTAATAAAATAATTATTGCTGTGTGATTGTTGTTCAATTATGGTTTATGTATAGTGTTAAACTATTAACGAATTAGTCGTTTTGTAACTTGCACACCAAGTGTTCAGTGAAATTCCTGAACTGAATTCTTTCTTTTTTGTTTGATTTCGGTTGCGGAATTGTTGTTGTGTTGATATTCATTGTTGTAGCTGGTATTCTAATACTGTCATAAATTTTTGTAGGTTAGAAAATAGTTCCTGGGTGCAGCCCAAAGGAACTATTTAAACATACATGAAAAGCTTCCTACTGTATCGTAAGGGGAACAAACCTTATCTCTCATTTTCCTAGTTCAAATGAATGTCATTGATGCTTTACAACACATACTTTATTTTCAGGATTGCTACTCTATCTATACTTCTGTCAACATATGCTAAAGTTCTGATGCACTGTCAACCGCCAGACCTTAAACTGCAGAATCAGATATGGGCAATATTTAAAAAGTGAGATATAGCTATGATGTTCAATTTTCCATTGTGACTGTTTGTTGTTTTTATGATGCCATAGGTTTTTCTATAAGCCATTCTCATCCTTTTAGATATGAAAGCTCAATTGAAATTGAAATACAAACGAGCAATTGAATAATTTGCATTGGTAGAAAAGTGCAGTATTAATGGATATATTAGCTGAAATGCCCAAATTCCCTAAGAGACAGGCACTTAGAGTTTGAATCCAACACAACAAACACTTTACATGAGAGAGGTATCTTGTCTAACACTGAGTGTTTTCAATAAGTAATTGATGCATGTATCTTGTAGCAACTTTTTAAAGTATAGACAGACCTTTCACTAGTTTTATGTGAAATGAGTTTGTACTATTTATTATTGATATTATCCTGCAAGTGTTTAATATCTCATAGTTTCAATGTTTTCTTGTTTCAGTTTTGATCAGAATACATAATGAGATCCTATTGGATATGGATTTCAGAAATAAATCTTGTCATCCACTTGTTTAGTGATCACATATGGGGAAAATAAGAGGTATGTACTTCAATTAAGAAACATTTGTCCCAACTATGTTATTTACCAACTAAAACTTTTCATGTGAGGGCATTTGGTCTAGTGGTATGATTCTCGCTTTGGGTGCGAGAGGTCCCGAGTTCGATTCTCGGAATGCCCCTTTTTATTGTTTTGAAGCTGTGGAAGTTTGTCATTGTTAATTGTTTAATTCAATATGAATAAGCTACAAATTTATTTTTATATCTGTTTAAGATATGGAAACTGACAAGTAAGTTCAATTTTATTGGTGGAAATACCCGAGTAAGTTCAATTTTCATGTGAACTTTAGAATGGATTTTTCATCACTCTATTATAAAATACATTGTTTATGAAGCCAAATAGATGATAACACACACATGCAGGATATTATGGTTTGAGTTAGTAATTTTTGTATTGTGCTAAAAGAAATTTTTATTTAAAAAGGGTGTAAATTAGCGTATATTTACACCCAATTTTTATTAAAATAGGATGTAATTATGAACGAATTTACACCAAATTTTTTATTAAAGTAGGGTGTAATTAAAAATGTATGTACACCTGGTTTTTATTAAAATATAGTGTAAATAAGAACGTGTATACATCCGATTTTTATTAAAATAAGGTGTAACGAAGAATGTATTTACATCCGATTTTTAATAAAAAATGGTGTAACGTAGAACGTATTTATGTCCGGTTTTTAATAAAAAATGGTGTAACGTAGAACGTATTTATACCTATTTTTTAAATGGGTGTAAATGCGTTAGACATTTCTTACCCGATGAATATACACCTGATTTTTATTAAATTTAATAAAAAAACGGGTGTAAAATAACCTTTTAGAGAGAGAGAGAGAGAGAGGAATCAAAATATTTGTCTAATTTTGAGATATTTGTCTTGTTATTTTTCTTAGGCTCTTCGCAAATTTCTCAAAATGTCTTTTATTTTCGAAGATACATCTCTGAACACATCAAATATCATTTTTATTATAAAAAAGTTTGGAAAGGCATCTCCGAATTATTAAAAGTGAGTTCGAAAATATATTTTCGAACTATACTTACTTCCGGAACCAATGCAACATGAATGAAAACATGACAACAGAATAAAAACAAACCAACACCAAAATCAATATTTCATTAGATAAAATCATTCATTACATAGATAGTCATAAAAATAAATTCAACATTACATAACCATTTCATCGGTACGTTGTAACATAATGATTATATTTTCGACGGATCTTTGAATGTTTGCATCCACTTCAATCAGACCCTTTGATTCATAACAGAGAAAAATACTCCACGTTCAAGGTTGATAAAATGGACCTTCCCTTCGTTGTCAAACAAGGGTGACTGATACTCGAGTTTGACAACTCTATGATTTTCTAGAAAGCGCAACCGAATATTCAGTTTGGATATCAGTGACCCTAAACGGAACCGGTGGTTTCTAGCCATTGAAATATACAAATGAATGGTGGGGATATGAACTCATTCTCTTTGGTTGTAGTGTGTAGGTGCACCAAATTAAGGTTGAGACACGCCCTATTTATATAAGTATTGAGTCACTTTGGACCTCAAAAAACTTATCTTGTATTAGATAAAGTTTCAGAAGGGCAACTCCAATTTTTTTCTTAGAATGTATTCGAAGATGCATTTCAAACTAATTTTTTTAAGAAAACTATATTTAGTGCGTTCTAAGATAAATCTCTGAATTTATTCAAAAATATTTTTAGATTTTCATATATACAATCCTTAAACAAGGGTGAGATGAGAAATTGCCAAACCCAAATAATAAATCTCTTACAATAGGTCCATGACAAAGATGTACAAACATCATAAGTCAATATAAAAACATTCTTGAAAGATATATCATACACCAAACATACCCGTTTTCCATTTGATATGATTATCTTTAATTAGTAGCTTCCATATTTCACCAAAAAAGTAAAGGATATGAAATTTCCCAACTTGCATATCTTACCCTTTTTGGTGGAATAATCTGCCATTATCTTACCAAAACCAGCTAAATATCTCTATCATTATTGTTATGTGCTGGAAAGTTTTTTTCAACTTGTTAATGGGCCCGGTTATTAGTTTGGAAGTATTTGATATTTTCTACCAAACTTCATATAAAAATCAACTTGGAATATCCTTTTCTTTGTGATTTTGATATCCACTTTACATGTAGCCTAACTTGTTGACCCTATTAAAGTAAATTCTTAATTGTCTAAATTTGATTTGACTTAAAGGTCAAGGAAGTTAAATATACGTTTCTTGAACAAATTAGTCGGAAGGAATCTAATATCAAACTAGTCTCTCTCTATATAACTAGTATTACTAATTAATTTGTTTTCTATAAAATAATTAATTTACTTTTACAAAAAAAATGAATAATTTCTAACAACATTAAATTTATTGATATTTTCAAATTTCTAAATCAACTTTTAGATTATTAAATTGAAGAGTAACTAAAGAATTGTTAAGTGTCTATGGACAAAGATATTTTTATTGTATCTTAAAAGAAACTGTTTAAGGGATACAAGTCAAGATAATTAGACAAATACCCAATCGTCGTAGTGCAGGCCGTCCAAATCAAATATTTATCCTAAGGTGTGAGTCTTTATGTGGTCGTCGCATTGGGGTTTGGACTTAACCGCCCAAACCCAAAAAGTATAGTATATGACATGTTTAGATCCAATAAAGAGAAGCACATTAATTGCCTCCCCGCGATCATAGAAAGGAGTCTAGTCTTCCCACTCCCCTTCCTTGAGCCAAAAGAAGAGGGACTCGCTAATCCAAGCTCAAGAGCCCCATATCTATACCTATGGATAGAAATAGGTTAGGCCGAGTTAGTTTTGATAAATTTATTTTATTTGAACATTTTCAATTAAGCAATTCAACTAATGTTAAAATAGACTAACAAATTAAAAGATTAATTAGACTAGATGCTTATTTGCATTAACTTATTCAACTTTACCTATTAACATATATTTTATGATATTATTTGTTTGAGAGAACTTATGAAAACAACTTATGATATTGTTCATACGGTTTTTTCAGCATATTTTTATAAGTTCTTCTAGACATCTAAAATTTATTTTTGTATTTTAATTTAAAATACAAACACCATATAATGATAAAATTATTCATATTTATTTAAATAGGCCAGCTTGATAGGCTTAAAAGACTTTTTTTGTGGCCTGTGGCCTAGCCTTTTTTTAACTAAATAGACTTATAAAAATGCCTGAGTCTTTTCTATTTTAAAAAAAGTCTGGTCTGTCCTGGGCCTATATATGCTAGCTTGTAGGCCCCTGTTATTGGCCTGACCTATTTCCACCCCTATATATACCCCGTTGAGGAAAGGGTAAAGGACACCATAAATTCTCCCAAAAAAGGCATAAAAGAGGTCTTCGTACTCTTTAGGAGGGTGAGCTCTTAACACATCTCATCCCTTGAAACCACATACAATACTACACAAACATGGCTACCCCCTCACTATACTTTTTTAGCCAGTACAATTGGCATCCACCGTGGGCCCCTAGTAAACTGGCACATACCACTTTCATAATCAATGGCCAACTCGGTTTCTACTTCCTTAATCATCTCCAAGAAGGTGAACAAGTGAGCAACAATGTCAGTCGAAAGTTGTGTGTGGCTTAGTGGTGAAGGCTTGGATCTTAAGGGTGTGCTCTCCTCAAGGTCTCAGGTTCGAATTCAACTAGGCACAAATTGCTTATTAAAAAAAGCATCTCCACCGACGACCATGATACCATATCAGAGATGTGTGCCTCTATGGATAATTTGTGTCACCATAATCGAACTTTGAAAGATAGTGTCCTTATTCTCCATAAGCGCCAACATGAGACATATCCCACTAAGCAGACTTGCATTTTGGATACCCAACCTCTCTCTAAGGAGATTTGGGGGGGGGGCACATGCCAAAAAGTTTTAAGCCATATTCACTCGCAAAATTCGATGGAAAAAGTGATCCTCATGAGCATTTCACCTCCATTAATATGTAATGGAGACCATCGGGGTCTCATACTCTTTTAAGTGCAAGCTCTTTTTTAATACTTTCAGGTACGTCACGTTGAGGTGGTAGATAAACTTGTCGTGATTATCAATAACTAGCTATCAAAACTTGGTAAAGAAGTAAGTCCATCGTTTTTAGCAAGCTGACAATGGAAGATGTTTACCACCTGCCTATTTAATATTCATCTGGGC